ATACATGGATACTTTTCCAAGATGCCCTCACATGGTTTAGTCACGGTGTGTTAAGTGCCCACTCATTGATGTCGCAAATGGCGACATTAAGTCCTGGGATACTTCACCGCCATATACCGAGGTATAGCAGCGATCGCAGACCAAATCTGTTTGAACTTCTCCCAGGGGATGCGGAATATTCAAATGAACCGCAGGATTGGTTTTTGGGCCACGAGGATATTTATTTCCATGCGTGGATGTCGTGTCTACCTCTGCAACATCGCCGCTATCTTCAACTGCTAGGCGATTAGTCAAGTATTTGCTGCGAGTTTATGATCTATCTAGCTACCCTAACGATATCTGCGATAGCGTCGACTTTTTGTAGACAAAATACGTAGCAGAGCAAAACCAGACAGACGTCCTCGGCTGGAGTAGGTCCTGATAATACGTTTGTATGTTCAGCAGTATTGACGTTGTTCGCAACCTCAACTGCATACCACCTTGCGTAGTAGGTGGTGCTTACGTTGTTGAATGCGATGACATCGAATCGTCCGACACCGATTTTATATTACTTTGAGCCTTGATGTCACTGTTTATTGACGTTTCATCATCAATTGTATCATCCACCTGCAATTTTTCCATCTCCTTCATTATATTAGCGCGATCTTGCAGCTAATTGAGTCTACATCCTAAAACGCTTTTCTGAGGCACCTAACTCAACATCACTGTTGGCTGCAGCTCCAGCATTCTCCACGCCTTTCCAACAATGGATTTCCACTTCCCAACGCTATGCAAAACTTTACTCTAGATAAACGTTGCAGATGATTCAAGACAGGCTCCAAACTTGTCTCTGTCATTTTGTGTTTTTCCTCCTCCGACAGTTCCACCAGTTTACTACTTTCTCGTCGACAGAGCCGCACATAGTCAACACGAGATACTGAAGGCTGTACATGATTTGACCGATTCTCGTAACGTCGGATTTGCTGGTTGACGTTGCAGAAGTTGCTATAGGCGGTTGATTCTTAATCGGATGGAGCTGGTGACTGAGCTAATTGCAAGCGCGCCATTTTCAATAGGTCCGTAGGTTTTGCACGCTTCGGTCATGCTCCAGCGCGCCGAATCGTCATGGCGGGCAATTCTTCAAAGTCATGCCCGTGTCGACACACATACGTGACGTGGCGACAGACCAGACTTTGGCTGGTAGTAATAGATCACGTACAAGCCCACTCAATTGCGTTGCATATGAGTAGCCTTCCTTCCTCAAACTCGAAACACCAACTTTTTGTCTTCAGTGTGATGCGCTTTTCATTGCTATCATGCATCGATCTCATTGGCATCGAACCTTAGCCCGCCCACAGTCGCTCATTAGTGCGGAAGTCAAAACGGCAGGAACGGTATCAGGATTACGCGACATGGCGTTGTGTTGATGGAGTGCTTGCAAAAGTTGGTGGGCAATGTTGGGTTGGCGTTTGAGTATACTACCAACTGCCTGACCTACTGCGGTTTTCTTTTGCATCAGTTATTATAAAATAATGCCAGATTGATTCAATCCAATTTGTGGTCGTGTTACCGACTGTAAACACCTTGTCGTGCAAAGAGTTTCTCCTCATATCTCGATAAATCTTCCAGTTCTCACCCAAATTCTGGCGAACCCTTTACAGCCACCTTGGCGGAAAGCACAGAACGCATTGTAAGTGCGGGCAAATACGTAGCTGACTTACTATCATCGAAGAAAAAGGATACCCGGTAGGACATGGTTGCACTTGTTTCTTTAAGAAAAAAACTATTAATATGGACCACACTTGAAATCGGGAAATCAGTTGCTTACCAGTTAAATGAGTACTACCACGCGTACGTGAGAGAATCAAATCTTATGGGCTCTCCCTGAGGACGTTTGAAAAAAACTATAATCTTACAGTGTAATTTGTGTTTAAAAAATCTGCGAGCTCCTCTCGGACTGGTATAATAGCGTTTATTTTATCGTGATGGTATTTCTTCACACCACAGTATACACAGTAGTAGTATAAAGCTCTGCTCTCGCATAAGGCTGTTACCCCCCCCCCCCCTTACACGTGCTTATTAATACATTGAGGTTAGCGTTGCTGCTACTGTTGGGTAGAACCTGTATAACGTTGATTCTATAACGTTGTTCGACACACGACGACGTGCGTATCTTGTGCGCCACGTTTATTGTATCCGATTAACTGTTTGAAAGCAGAACGTGGTTTCCAACACCAGATCACAATGTTGAACGTCCGAAAATGATTAAGGTGAAAGCAAAATGAAGAGGGATATTATCGTCATCGACCTTACCAAATTGCGACGAATAACCGAGCATAAATTGCACGCATCAGGAAACAAGACATAGCATTGACTAAATCGGTAACGCAGCATGTGTTACCTATCGTTGCATGGTAACAAATAACGTTGCACAAATCATTGGCGCTGCTTTGCAGCAACGTTATCTCATACATCTATCGCTCTACTAGTTTTA